TAACATTTATGGTTATAATAGGAGTCATCTACTCAACTTCAGTACATAAGAGGACGCAATAATACAAGTTGTTCAAATCTACTTAAGAATCTACTTAGGAACTGCGCAAGTCCCTGCCTCAACAAGCTCAACAGATCGATCTGTTCTTTAACATTTCTTTACAGGATCACTCACTCAGAATTGCCTACTAACTTGAATAAATGTAATTTGTTCAAAACGAACAGGCCACGTATGGAAAAAATAGGGAAATAACTGAGCTTTATGTACTTAGAGCGTTCTGTGCATCTCGTCCATCTTCCTTATCCTCTGTTCAAGAAGTCTTTCTTTGTCAAGTGAAAGCGTACAGAGTTTCCAATTAATTGCTTAGCTAAGGCTATTTATTTAGTTACTTGGACGAATGTGTTACTTATTTGAATCAACAACAATAAGACCATCTGTTACTTTTATAAATGCATTATTAAGATTATTATTAAGACTTTCCGCAGAAAATTTCGTGATACTCCGCATTGCATTGATAGCATTGTCAAAGTCTTTATTCAGAAGATAAGAGCGACTGAAAATAAACACGGTATGCTCCTTGAGTCTGACCTTGGTGTTACTCTTCTTCCTTGCATAGTTGTAGCATCTTGCAAATCACGTCCGAGCTAATGTTCTTCTGAATTTTTACAAAATTAAGCACTTAGTTCATCAACTTTGTGATGTGGTACTCTCAGGAATTTTAAACTTAAAAAATTTCATTATCAACTAATAATATGTTCTTAGGTAAGGGTCAAAATAGTGTACCACCCGTACTATACCTTCATCATTTCAATTATAAGATCGATGTTACCCGAGAGCAGGCCTTTACATGATCCCACCAACCAGACTGGAGCGCTCTGCTCGCAGAATTCATCTGCAGCCTAAACGTAAAATTTTCTTGGAGTATCAATGTAGAAATGTGAGAGAAAAAGTAGTTTACTCTTTCAACATTTTATATCTGCTAAGAACGATGGAATTCTTTGTAGAAGTCATAAATAAATGTAGGAACGCTACTTTCTAAAGTAGAATTCTTAGCTCTCTTATTTGTATGCAACAATTAATGTTTGAGGAATTGCTCGTCATTCATACATCTGATATCTTCAAGAAAATCATGTTA